TGTAAAACTTTTATTATGTACTTTTTAAAATGTATTGAGACTTTAGTATACTTATAATATAACTATTACATTTGCATAAAATGTTCGTGAACCTTGCATCATAAGCAATATCAATAAAATTAAACTATTATTTTGAAATATTAAACTGAAATTAGTTCTGATAGTAAACATCTGCTATTCAACAAGAAGAAAAAAAAAAAAAGGTTTTGCAGCATTACAGTTGTGTAAGTAAAAGATAACAAATAACCCTCGAAAAAATTGTGAATTAACAATAAAATTATTTGAGTTTGTCGCGAACACAACTCGGCTATGCTCGTGAAAGTTTGAGATCGACTCATTTGTTTTGTTAAATGAATCAAACTTGAAACAACTAATCGAGCTTCTCTATTAAACGAACCAAAGTGAGTTTGTTAAAAAACTACTCAATTTATAATTATTTATTTTCCATAAAGAACATAATCATGTCGAACTTATTAACAAAAATATTTTGTTTTCACACAAAACTCGTTTGGGGATTTAGGTTTTTTAAATGAGTAAAGTCCATCCGAGCATTGGCGAGGTTCAACGAGTTGAAATCAAGCTGAACTTTATATTCATTTAATAAATGAGCACAAACTCAAACAAGAGTTACTTGTCTCGGATGAAATGACACTCATAACCAACCCGGTCATGACATATTTATGTTATTATTGTTGATGTTTATTTAATTTCATCATGTTGCAGTATTAGAAATTTTTTATTAGAATATATTTTTACAAGACACAAATATTAATACAGTGATGAAAGTAAAATTCTTAGCAGGTGCAAACTATACAAATATTTGGTTTTTAAAAAGTTAAATTCATAAGAAAGAAAATGACAGGATAAAAGTAAATGCACAATAAAATAATCATAAGAAAAAATAACTTTAGAGAACAACTACATTAAACCTTATGAATAAGCAAGTGTACAAGCTATAGAGTTTGTAAAGCCACAAAATCTCGAACCGCTCGACTGCTCCTCTCGAACTGGGTTGGGCCTCCTCGACCGCTGGTACCTACAAAACACGATGGGGGTGGTCTTGGCGTGGGCGCTCCGACGCTCAAGTTAGTCTGTTTCTTTGACCACTCTCCTCAAAGACGATAAAAATTTTCATTTTTGTGGTCTTCTCAGCCATAAATCCTTACCTTCTCTAACCCAAGAGACCCTCGACTCTGCTCGAGTAGAGGGTGATCCAGGTAGTTCTCAATCATTGTGCTCGAGTATCGTCGTGCTCGTACTTGTGTATAAACTATTTGTTGCGATGCTAACTTATTTTTGTGATTTCTTTGCAGGGATGCCCGCTCTCTCCATTCCTAAGAGAAAAATTCCTCTGAAGAAGAAGTCCGCTCAGCCGTCGGCCTCTCAGCAATCCGACTCGACCATCCCATAACCAGACTTGTCGACCTCTTCCATGGAGGCCGACACCCACACTACGTCAATTCAAGAATCGTTGGTCGAGGAGCAACATCTTTCTTTCTCGACCAACCCGCAAGTCGAAGAACAACAACAACAACCCTTACAAGAACATTAACAACAAGCCTCTTCTCCTGCCGACTCGACCATACCTGTGGCCGACTGTTGGGTTATGTTAGGAACGTCAACGACATGCACGCTTGAATTTGGAAAATTAAACCCTAATGCCACGGAATCTATAGTTAGGGTTGGGACGTTATCGTTTAAAACATTTGCCGACTCAGAGACATTTCTGATTTCCTTTGATTGAGATCGTCTGAATACCAGAGTCCGGTGGGCTAACGAATCTGACCTTTCTCGATTCTGATTGAGTTGTTGAAACACGAACGGATCACGGATCTAGGCTCATCGGATTTGGGTCGATCAGATCTGGTTCAGTTCGTCGGGTTGACTCAGTCGTGTATATGAACAATTCCGTTTTGATATGGCAATCATGTTTTAGTCAAAGTACATCTGCCTGCAGTTTATTTATTTATGCACTCATACTCATTGTCTTACATTGAGATAGTGTGGTTCGTGGTGTCTCGAACAGAAAGATCACTGTTGCAGCAAATTATTTTATTTTTTTTACCGAGTATCGAATCAAAAGATTCGTTTCCCGGGTTGATCTCTCGAGGAAGACGGTTTGGAACTTAGCGTTGGTCTTGATCACACACGAAAAGAAAATAAGTCCTAAACACTCTAATCACGATTGATTTGGGGAATTAACTAAAACAAGCTGGAACTAGAAAAGCAATTTAAAGAAATATCAATTAAATTTCTACTCTATAACTCTTTGTAACACTTCGTAACAAGATCACAAATATAAACGATAAACTCATTCAAACAAGCAACACATAGACCATACTTTTACGAACATGTCTACTCTATACGAGCCTAAATCGACCGACGTCTCCCCTCTCGGTTCTAAACGTCGATTAACTAGGTTACAATGGTGATCAATCAACTAACCCTATAATTCACACAACTCGTATAGATTGAACAAATCACATTCCTCATAATTCAAAACAAGAATCAAAACCCCTAACCTTAGGTGAATGGATTACCTCATGCTTAGACTCAATTTCATGTTAACCGGAATTAAGAACATGAAACCAATCAACAATAATAAAATAGAATTGAAAAACTTACAATCGGATTAAGAGTTGCAAGATTTCAATCCAAATATCTTTGTGTCCAACAATCCAAGCATGAGAGAAAAAAAGAAAAGCGGAGAAATTTATCCTAACAATATTGAGTTTTTGGAGAGAAAAATTGAAAGGAACGATATTGGGGATTGTTCCTTAGGTCTCGGGGGTTGTTTTGATATATAGAGCTCGAAAAATAGAGCTAAAACGAGAAAAAAACGAGCAATACAGGGTGACTCGGTCGCGACTCACGAGTCATGGGTCCCCCAGGTCGCTGGGCTGGCAGCAGGGCGTGCGCGCGCGGGGGGCAGGTCACAGGTCGCGAGTACAGCTCGCGGGTCGCGAAATTCTGGGCATTCTTCTCTGTTTTTCTTGTGGGTCGCGAGCTTGGGTCGCGGGTCGCACGCGTCTGGGTCTGGGCGTGGGGGTTTGGTCGCGGGTCGCGGGCGCGGTCGCGAGTCGCGACCTGGGCTGCACTGCACCATCTTACGTTTTGGCCTCGTTTGAGCTTGTCCGAACTCGGAATTGAGTTCCGTTTTTTTCCTACGCGTAGCTTGCGAACCCATCTATTTAGTTATGCTCTCGAAACCAATTTTTGCTGAAGAGGAAATTCGCCCAAAGCTCCTGACCTACACACCAAAAACGACAAAACATAAAAGAAAACCAGAAAAACAAACGGAAAACACCTAAAGACTCAAAATAAAGGAAAACACATCATAAAACATGAAACGGACTAAAAACTAAAGAAACGACCTAAAATGGGGGAAAAAGAAAAGCAAAACAGGCACGAAAAATATAACAAAAATGGGACACACAAACTCCCCCACACTTAAACCTTTGTTCGTCCTGAACAAAAAGAAAAGAAAAGAAAAAACACAAAACTAAAACCTGAGCATGGACAAGAGTCATTCACAAGATAAGCCTCAAAATGTTCAACTTCAACAACGAGAATTCAAATGGCACATACGAATATTACACAACTACATGCTTGATCTCTATACTTCGACTTGGCGTTCTCTCAAGTATGGGAATATATATATGTGTGCCTCACTCGAATTCTTATACAGATAAAGATAGGTGCACTCAAATTGGTCGATAACAAGTTCAATCATATGCTTGTCCATTGTCTATCTTCTACTCTAAACCAATCAAAATTGAAACTAGTGCATCATAAGGTCTTTCAAAGTTGTAACGTAGGCTCTTTGGTTAGGTAGGATAAATATAGGCTAAGTGGATCGAATTCATTACATAACCCAAACACCTTACCCCAAGAATCGTACACTCAGCCGGTTACTCAAACAAACCGGATCCTACCCCACACTTCTTCTAAAAGCACAAGTTTCACCCATTTTATTTCATTTTTTTTCTTTTTCTTTATTTTTTGTTTTTTTTTTTTTTGCAAACCTTATTGGACATTTTATACTTTTATTTTTTTTTTTTGATAAAGAACATAAACACAACTCCAACAATCATCCCCTCCAATTTTTAACCCGCAACTCCAACAACGTCATCATCACAAGGTTATCAACAAAAATCAAATAAGGCTCGAAAAGGGGAGACTAGGGAATAATTTGTAGAGAAAGAGAAGGATAGAATACAATAAACGCCTTAATCAATTTATTTCAATGCAGACTCAGAGCAAGTTCTAATCAAACAAGAGCATGACCAATGTATCTCAAGAAACAAATAAGGCTCAAACCTCACTAGGTAGATATATGAATGTCAATCAATGTAATCGACCAACCATTTCATCATGCTATGCCGCATATGACCAACATCACAACTTATCGAATTCATCAAACAAGTCTTAACTAATCTTGAAATTTCCAAAGTCCATGCTCCAAAACACACAAAACCTACACTAGACCGGTCTACCACATAAGCATGCAAAATCTAAGTAAACTCCCCACACTTAAAATGAGTAGACCGGTCTACCACATAAGCATGAAAAATCTAAGTAAACTCCCCACACTTAAAATGAGGCAATGTCCTCATTGCTTCAACACATATCCAGGAAGTCAAAAAATAAGACTTAGCAATTTCATATCATGAACCAATACTAGCAACAAACACAAGAACACAAAACTCACAAGAAAAGACACGAGGAAGTAGCAACATCACAAAGAAAAAAAGAGAAAAGGTGTGCAAACCGAAATAACATCGAAAGAAATAAGCATTCACGTTCAAGCCGCTCGCCTACGCTCAACCTAGTCCTCGATACGTCCTGCCCAGAAAAACCACAAAAACTCCAAACTCTAATTGTTCAAAGATAAAACAAAAAAGCATAAAGAAAATAACTAAGAAAGCAGTAAATCACTTGGGTTGCCTCCCAAGAAGCGCATGTTTAACATCATTAGCTTGACGAAACCTGTACAGGAATCAACCAGGATCCAAAAAGAAGTGACGATCATGCCACATCTTTGTAATCTCAAGAAGTGTCAACACGGGCAGTGTGGCATGACCGATGACCTGGTGGGCTCGGGTGGCAATGTTCTTGTGAAACCGAGCATTAGCACCAAGGATGGGAACGAAATGGCCCAGAGCTCTTCTCATCAAACCTCCACAGTCAACCTCTCGGAACACGAGAGTGTCCGTGGAGCATGTCGAGCTAAATGGATCCTTCTCGATGGTGCGGAGAGATGGCTCAAGTGAGGGACTCTCGAATTTAGGCCCAGGAGTTTCCTCCATCAGGATATCACCCTCAATCTCTGGGAGCGCATCTTCCTCTTCTTCAGTCTCGCCCACGTGAATCTGATTGACACTGATAATGGACTCATCGACTTGTGGCTCAACGGATTGGATGTGTTCCATTATACCGTCAAGTTGCACCACCAACCAAGTGCATCCAATCTCAATCTCCTCCAGTTGAGTGGTTTGGGCCGACACACGAGCAAGAATAAGATCGAGTTTTTTGTCAAATGTCAAAGTGTCCTCCCTGATATAGGATATTATATACTAGACCCGTCTTAATGGAGAAAAAAGAGGATATATTGAAGAATAAGCCTACACATGGATAGGACACGTGGCATGATGCTATTGGACAAGCCCAACTTGGGTCATAAGGTACATTTCCCCTATAAAAGGGGGCTAAGGTATCCCATTCTCTCATTCTCTCTACATTCATTACTACACTGGAAATTTGGAGTGATTCTGACTTGAGCGTCGGAGGCCCGACGCCGGGACCCCTCCCGGCGTTGGGTTCTTGCAGGTACGGAGGCCGTCCGAGTTGAAGGAGCCCGGGTGAAATCTTATTCACTTCATTGACGCCGTCTGTGGGACCCGTTAAAAATGCCAAACGGTGTTTCGATCGAAAAATTACGAAAATCCTCTTTCGACTCTGCCGGCCGACGTGCTCCGATCGAAAAGTTATTTACGTCATTGGGTAGATATCTTCGAGGTGAATCTCCCCTTAAAATTTCATGCGAGAATTACAGCGGGAAGATCGTCAATTTTGTGGTCAAAGTTTCCAGATCTAGCAAAAATATGTCAAAACCGAACATTCAAATGCATTTTCCCGACGATCCGTGAGGGGTATGGAAAATTCGAGGGTACCACCAGAATCCTCTCGACGAGGCGAATATACGGAGCCTGATATTCGCCGGACGGCGCCGCCGTAAGCCACTGGCTGCTGCCGTCTCCGCCATCGGCCACCGCAAAAAATCATCCGATCTGAAAAATTCTTACACCATTGCGAAGCTCAAATTCTTACACCATTGCGAAGCTCTACTCGTGCTTGTCCTACCCTTAAAATTTCGAGCACAAATTCCTCCGGGAAGGCCATCAATTTGCCGGTCAAACTTTGTGGATCTAAGAACAAATTGGTCAAATTCGGTCATCTCTTCCATTTTCCCGTCGATTTTCGGCGAACCACTTCGATCCGATGATACCACCGGATTATCCTCCCCGGGGCGCACGCGCGGACTGTCGCCTTCGCCGGAGCTGGTGTTCTATTTTTCGGCAAATATTTCTGGTGAGTCCATTGCCGGGCTCACGAATCAATTCACCCAGGTCCGCAGATCTGTGCACAGCCCGTTTCCCAGCTTTACCAGATGTTGGTCCATGTAGCTCAGCCCGTGAACGATCCAACAAGAGGCAGCCCAACATGTCTCGCAGGTCTAACATTTCCCTCGGCCCAATTCGCGCCAGCCCACAGAGAGATGAGAGGAAAAAATGCGCGGGCCGCGTGCAGCCCGCGCGACATGCGTCCAGCCCGAACATCTTACAATCCCTGGCCCGCGCAACCCGCGCCAGACCCAAAAGCAGCCCGCGCTCCCAGCCGCGTTACCAGCCCGCCACCTCACAGCTCCAGGCCCGCGCCAGCCCGTGAAAGCCCGCGCCTGCCATCCCCCAGCGCAGCCCCTTTGCAAGCCGCCCAATGCGTCTAGCCCTGGCCAAGCTGGCCCAGATCACCCATAGGCGGCCCAAATTGCTCCCAGTAGGCCTATTAGCACCATAACTGTGGCCCAACAGCCTAACAATGGCCCATAATGGCACCAACATGGTCTAACAGCCCCATTTTGTGCTCAATACTACTTCGAGGTAATTCGAAATGGACGGTGAGATAATTCGAGATAGAATTCTCGTGCTAAAGGTATACGGTTAATTTAAATTGCAGACTCAAAGGGTTTTTTAAATTGGTGAAAATATTTGATTGATTCGTGGAAAATATGCGATATGCTCGTAGAGACTATTTGATTAATTTGTGGAACATTATTTGACTTAGGCATGGAGCATATTTGATATATTCGAGGAATTATTCGATTCGTTTGCGGACTTATATGATTTATTCGAGTAGAATTGTTTGATATATTCGTGGAGAATATATTCGATTTACTCGGGCAAAATTATTTGATTTATCCGTGGAGTCTATTTAATTTATTGGAGGAGTACTATTGAACTTATTTGTGGAGCATTATTTGATTGTGGGGCATTATTGGATTTATTGAGGAGTATTATGTGATTTATTCCTGGAGATATTTGATTTGTTCGTGGTGATATTGGATTCGATCATTGAATTATTTAATTTGTTCGTGGTGATGTTCGATTTGATCGTGGAATTATTTGTTTTGCTCGTGGAGATATTGTTTGACTTATTCGTGGAGATATTATTTGATTTATTCGCGAAGAATTTATTTGACTGAAAATAAATGCGGGTCGTGGTTTCGGACTGCGGATTATCTTGGGATTGTGTTTGAATTGACTATTCATAATTTTTTAAGCATGTCATTACTCGAGCATGTCTTAAATCGAGGAGATGGTGATGATTGTATTTGATCTCTTGTTTTTCTTGCGTGGATAATTGCAAAAAGGACACGTGAATATAATGTGGATAATGACACCTCTTTTAATTCTTGTCGAGGAAACATCAAAATGACTCGAATCTCGACAAGCCATAGGTGAACGAGTTGTGGAGCTTCGAGAACGCAATGAGCGAGCACGAAGCCATCAAAGCAGGGTGATAAGGAGGGACGAGTCTGGATGGTGCCGATCGCAGGTGGCAACTTCAGAGGCAGAAATCAGTCTTGTTTGGAATAGGATAATTGGGAATGGCATTCTCGACCTTCAGGTATAAAGTTAATCCCAACTCTTGTGAGTTGTCAAGTTCGACCGACTCAATATAATGAAACAGTGAGTCTCTTAGCATTCTTTTTTTGGAGTAATGTTCATTGTGTGCATATTTTGGGCGATATATTGCTGAGATTGTGGTGTACGTGGATATGTCTGGAATTATTATTTGGGTGATAACAAAATGCCGAAAATGGGGTATACGTGGAGCCTCGAACAAAATCTGGCACGACTAAGGCCTCCGGACTGGGTGGTCACATGTAACGACCACTCCTTCGAGGGTGGGCATGTGTTCGAAGACCAAAATCCACCATGACTAAGGCCTCCGGGCTGGGTGGTCACATGTAACGACCATTCCTTCGAGGGTGGGCATGTGTTCGAAGACCAAAATCCACCATGACTAAGGCCTCCGGGCTGGNT